TACAATGAAACCTTCAAAAGGGGTATTATTCAACTGTGCAACTCCAACAAAACAGAATATGGAGTTCTAGTAGCGCACTTTACAACAGGCTTGTATCAAGTGAATTTTCTGAGATTATGCAGACATGAAACTTATTAATTAATTAATTTCATTTTTATACTGCCCAATAGTTCAGGATCTCAGGGCAGTTAACAAAGTTAAGGAAAAAACATGCAAGATAAAAACAACTCAAAACAACAAGCCACAATAGCAATTCCAATTGAATCAGCATAGAAGTACAGCAGTGGTACACAGTAAAATGCAATGATAAAAATGAAGCTAAAATAAAACTGTTAAATGCTGGGATTACATATCCATTTATTTATTATATTTATAGACCACCTTTTCCCTGCAAGGATCCCAACGCAGCTTACAACATTTTTCTCCTCTCCATATTATTCTCGCAACAACTCTGTGACGTAGATTATGTTGTGAGGCAGTGAGTGGCCTGAAGTCACCCAGTTGGCTCCATGGCCAAGTGTGAACTAGAACCTGGATCCCTTCCATGGCTTTTTCTGGCAATTTATATGAAAATGGCATTTGCCACAGATGTGACCTCAGGCAGGAAACCTGCAAAACAGGTGCAGGTGCCAAGGATTTATGATGAATCAAAAGCAGTACTTGACTTTATGTTTTCTGCTGAACTGGCTCCACAGACATAGAAAATACACTAAGAGAGAAGTAGCATGTGGACCACAAAGTGGCAAAAGCAGAAATATTCATAAATCCAGCATTTCCCAAGCAAGTGCTCAGTGTTACACTCTCCCAAATTCCCACAGATTCCGCCAAAACTCTTTTAATATTCTTGCTCCTGGAAAGAAAAACTAACAGAGAACACTGGATGGTCTATCCTGCAATATATTCTTTCCTCATCTGAAGCATTGTGATTAGACAGCCCTGGTAAAATCCTTCACTTTCTTTCCGTCTCATATTTCTCCACCCCGGAAGTTTCCTTATATGGAAAAAACATGGCGAGAAATGTAACATTTTTGGAGACATTCTATCTGTATCTCCATGTCCTCTGCTCCCATATCTTCAGGAGTGCTCAGCTTCCATTTGCTACAGAGGAACACTACTTCAATCCAGACATCTGCTAAATCTATCCAAATCAACACAATTCAGATCTGGATTCAAGTTTTGAATGAACATTTAATCATAATCATGAATATCTGCTGGTCCAGATAGCTCTAGCATATTCTGATGTACTGTCAGCAAGTTATATCTATAAAAATATACATACCTAGGAATTCAGTAAATCCCTTTATTTCAGTGTTACAGATAATAGAAGTGTTGACTAACCAGCGCTGAGTAAAGGGGACCTGGTATCACTTCCAAATCACATGGTACTAGTTCCCCTTACTCAGCATTGGTTAGGACTCATGCAGAGTACTGTGTCCAGTTCTGGGCACCACAGTTTAAGGAAGATGCATCCAAGCTGGAAAGGGTTCAGAGGAGGGGAACAAGGATGATCCATGGACTGGAAACAAAGCCCTTTGACAAGATATTGAAAGGCTGGGCATGTTTAACCTCAAAAAGCTAAGGCTGAGGAGAGATATGATGGTGCTCTACAAGTTCTTGAAAGGCTGTCAAAAAGGAGGAAGGGATCTCTTTTCAATCATCCAGGAGTTCAGGACACAGAACAATGGGCTTAAGTTACAGGAAGTCAGATTCTAGCTAGAAATCAGGAAAAAATTCCTGACTGTTTAGAGCACTATAACAAGTGAACCATTGACCTAGAGAAGTTGTAAGCTCTCCCACACGAAAGGCATTCAAGATGCAACTGGACAGCCATCTGAGAGAGATGCTTTGACTGCATGCCTGCACTAAGCAGGGAGATGGACCCTCTGGCCCTCTGGGCCCTTCCAACTCTATGGATTCTAAGGTTTTAGGACATGTGAGGAAAATCTGGATTATTTCTGGACAGCCAAGTGCCATTGTAAATACCCACACTTCATCATCTTCACTTCCATCAGCATGTCATGTGACACAGACAGATGTAAATGCTGAGAAAAGATATTCACTATACACACATAAAGTTGTCAACCATCTTAAGCTAATGGCCCAATTTTACCCTTACTTCATTGATGGTCTGGCTCTGAGATTTACTAACAAGACTCAGAATGTTTATGTCATGCAATTCATTTCGGACATGTACAATCAGGCATTAGTACCTCCATTCTTTGTAGAAGTCAAGAAGATAATATTTTACACGCTGGCTTTCTAAGTGCTTGACTAGTATTTGTCAATCTTCTGACATCTGCTTCTGTTTCATATTGTTGGAGCTGAGCGGCCATCTGTTTGTGAAGCACTTTACCAGTTATTCACCCAGGGTATGTAGTAGATGTTTTCTCAATAAGAGCTACTGTTTGGGAACTCCGATATAATGGTATATTTTGAATCACTGGAACTCATAATGACTGTGTGTGTGTCTGTGTGTCTGTAAGGTATAAATATTTTGTGTGTGCGTGTTTGTGCATGAATACATAAGCAGCAGGACATACCATAATAGTCAGCTTATTATTAGGATAACCATGACTTCAATTTTAAGAATAGTCTCCATTAAACTCAGTGGTACTTATTTCTGACTCCATAGATTCCACTAATAGAACACATTGAACTTTAATAAAAGAGCAACAGCCAGTTGAAATGTAAGTTTTAGCTTTTAACACAAACAATCTTGCAAAGAAGCATGACTGTTTAAATTTCTATCCTGAAGTAGGAACCACATCAAAGCAAGAACTATTTAGCCTCTGCTTCATTATTTTTCCCATTCTTTGACTACTTCTATGCTAATCTGTCATTGTTAGTAGTAAAAGGCCTTGTTATCACTCCATTCACTTGCCAGAGTAAAAAAGGTCTCCAATTACTTGGTGATCAAGAGGATGACATCTCTAATTATCCTCTGAAAAAAGTGGCAGAATTGTGCTCACATTTCCTCTGCACTACACCTCTGGCAAAGGAATATCCAGTAACTCTGAAGTATAGGCATCCGTGATCTGAAAAGGGACTTCTCTTTCAACCAAAGGGAACCACAGATTAATGAGGGGCAGGCACAGAACTGGAAGGGAGGCACAGAAAAGTTGGACAGTAGGTTTGCTATGCATTATGATGTTCATGTTGCTTCCCGCATCAAATGCTTTACCTGTAGGTTTGTAAAGAAACTAAATATCATCAAGGGGAGTGTATCAAGGACCAGTGGTCTTCCTCCAAAGGTGCCCAAGTAATCACACTCAGAAACACTGTGAACTTGCTACCATTCAGGAAAGTGGATCTAACTCTTCAACTATAACAGTGGGGCATAAGCAGATAGCGTATGGGTTGTTTTTTAATAGCTCCCATTGAATCCTAGCTGTGAAATATGAGACACAGTTGATCAGAAAAATCTGCTTTCTTGCCCCAGACTGTTTACAGGTCTCTCAGTGAGCACCCCTTAACTGTTGTTCAGATAAGTACATCATTGCCTGCTGTAATAGCGATCAGTATAGAATTATCATGGCATTTGCAAGTTTGAGTTTTGAAAACTTATGGAAATTAAAACTATGCTGCATTTGTAATGCACTCAGTTGAAAGTTCATAGCAGGCCCCTGGCTATAAGGAACTGAAATGAAATAAAATGATAGGACAATCAACCCATTTTTAAAAATTGTTGCAACTCAAATGAATTTAAGTAACAGAAACCATATTTCGATAATCTTAGATAAGTTATGAAAATACAAGCCTCTCTGTTCAGTCATTATTTTTATGGAGCATATAATTCTTTAATTGGTGTTGTATGTTTGTGAAAGACCAAGCTGTATATCTCACTATCCACAGGTTGCCTGTATTTTGTTTCTGAGAAGCCATTGGTGGGTTAGAATTTTTCTTTCAACACTGGATCCAATCTTGTAGCCAAAGGCAACATCTTACTATCCCTGTTTGCACAATGCAAATTTATTTAGGTGTTCAAGCCTGCACTCAGTAATTGCCATGGCCCTGCTTCTTTGGCATGTCCAGTCGATTCAGTCTTTGGAACTATGTGCTCCTTTACACCACTGCATATCAGCCACATCTGATCAACCAATTTCAACATCCCTCCAAGCATTAATTCTAGATTTGTCTCTTCCCTGGTTGCAGGAAAGGACAGCTTCCCATAGTAGTATGCAGTGGTGGTCCCAGTGCTAATGCTAATGCCATTGTGCTAGCACAACATCAGTTTTTACACAATGCAGTGGGAAAAGTGGCTCTTTGCCTTCAGCCCTGTATTTTAGCAGCAAATCACCACAGGGTTTATTACTTTCCTTTAGATTTACTCCTTGACCTGCTCTCTAAATCCTCCTTCACTCTCATGTCTGGAAATTATCAAGGGCGTGTTTGCATTTTTCACAGAAAAAAATGCTTTCATTTTAATCAAGTTGGATTAATTTATACCATTACTAATAAGCCATAACTAAATACCAGAAAATATAAGCTTTCACACTCTCAGTGGCCCAAGTTAATATCAACAACTCCTTGGTATCCCACTCATATACTCATTCAACACATTGATTCAGTTTTCAAGGAAACACTGTAAGATACAACTTCTTGATGAAATGATGGACAACAGAATTTGAGATACAGAATTTAGAACTTTTTTGGGTTTTAAATACCATTCTGAGTGTGCAGTCCCATCACTGATGTCTGTTCATGCATTGTAATGCACTAAAAATTGACTTTTCCATAAAGAGGAATACCTGTGGTCTTGAATGAAAGGCAGGAGAAAATGGAAAGCAAGTGGCTACCATTTCTTTTGTGGTGACCCACCACAAAGGCCCTATTTTACTAGTGATCTATGTATTCACTGACCTCGATGTGTCTTGAGAAAATTATTATATGGATGCAATCATAGCAACAGCTAAATTATAGCATGATAAGAGAAGAATTTCCTAAAATAAGCTAGTGTTCCTTGTAAACTCACATAAGAGGTAACCGTTCATTCTGCTTACCTAAATCAGAACACTGCACAACCCGAAGGTAGCACTGACATCGGAATGGACATATTGGCATTGGAGGATATCCTGCAGGAGGTTCAGGAGTCCCAGAACCTGCTTCATCTTCAAGCATGAAGTCAAACAAGCCTTTTTGATGGAACGGCTTGGCCAAACAAAGTGGCAGGAGCAGAAGGAAAAAGACAGCCACCTTCATGATTTAGTTCATGTATTCAGCAGCACTGAATCTACAAATCAAAGCACAGGTGTACAAATTGATAGCATTGTTTGCTCATATCTTTTACAAAAATATAATTTAATGGGGTTTTGGTAGCTCAGTGCTACAGCCTGTTAAGACAATAATAAAAGCATTGCATTCATATCATTTATACAGAAAACCAGCAAGCATTACTAACACAGAGATCCACAAATGTACATAGAGCCAATTGTAAGCACTTATGTTTGGCTACTTTTATTTCACTTGTATATATTAGTAACAGCCACTTGTGTTAGAATTCTACACAATAAATAAGGGAAGAAGAAACCACATTTCCATTCTTGGTTAATATTGCAATATTAAAATGTTAATATTGCAATATTCAGTCCATTTTAAAAATGGACTGAATTCTCCTTTTCTTTCATTATTATGATTCACTTGAAATTCTGAGGCTTGTGATAGGAGGTTGTTTGTGCACATGTGGGGGATCGTTTGTCATCTGGCCTTTAAAAAACTGGCAGGTCGGAAAGTTCATGTAAAAGGACATTTCATAGCACTTTAAAGTAAGTGTTCCATATCCAATTGATTATTCTTGGTTTCCTTTACAGTGGTGATCTTGCACCACCTGGCAACCCAATCAGGCTTACCATAGATTGCCCCCTCCCACTTCCCTCTCTGTCTTCCTCCTGGTATCCCATGGACCTGCATGACAGAACTCACCTTGTCTCTTCTTCCCGCCGCAGTTGTGTGTCCTTTCATGGTCATTGATGCTTTCCCACCATTTTCCACATCTTTTCAGAGACTGAGTTTTGCAGTCTCTATGCTGACAGCCAATGACAATCCTTCCAAAGTGCCCAAGTGGCAGATGGAGCAGCCAGCGCTGGTTTGCCACTTATTTAATTTGTTAAAGGCATCAAATGTGTGCACATATGTTTTTGATTATGATTTTCTTTGTTAGTTCTGGGTTGTAAAGTGCATAATTTCAGCTACTTGTAGCTTCAAATGTAAGATGAAATGTAATGTCCTCATAAGTGCCTGGTGTCAAAGGATGTTGCCTGCTTTGACAACAACAAGCAACTAACAGGACATTAACCAGGCAAGGCTTTAAATTTCACATTGTCAGAGTTGTGCACCTGCAAACTATTGACCAAAAAAACCCAACCCATTAGTGTGCAATTCTGAAGCAATAAATTGAAAGTGCTAGCAAAGTGACAGCCACTTCAATTAAGCACTTGGACACTCTGCGGGGGTTGTCACTGCCTGTCATTTCAGATAACGTGAAAAGTGTTCTATGAAAAAAGGGGGGAGAAGGAGAAAGAAAAGCTGGAGAAGCCACAAAAGGGTTTACAATGGCAGCAGGGAAGAGCTTGGATACTTGGAGCAGCTGTTACTCATTGTGGCTGAGAGAAACTTGGAAAGAATGGCAAAAGGGTTTTGCTGCTCTTGCTGAGCAATGCACATACTGCTTTCCACTACCCATGATGTTTCTCATGTTTGCCTGAGGTAACAGCCCATCATGACTTGAATAATCCCTAAAACAGCCTATGAATTATCAGGTTATGATAATTAGGGTGGGAGTTTGGGGAAAAAAGCACCCTACAGGAGGCTGGGTCTGGGTTCACGTGAAAACCCATAGGGCAAACCCATAGGGCAAACAGCTAGTTACCCACAACGGGTTGCCGTGTTGTGCGAACCCAATTTAATCCAATTTACAATGGACTGCCACAAGAGTAAGGGTAAGCTGATAAAAGTGATAGCCAGACTGCCTACTTCTGTGAGCCGACAGATATCCAGACTTGGTAATACCCTTAGCAAGACTGAAGCAATCCTCCCAAATCAGATGCTATGGGCCAGACCACCTTTTGTTCCTTCCATGCAACACAGCCATTCCCTTCTGATGGAAGATGGAACTGTTTATGCGGGGTCACTACTTATAGATCAACAAAAGAGAGGAAATGTATTACCCCAGAAATGGCAAAAGAGGACAGTAATCTTCGTAACATGTTCATATGCTAATTAATATATCCAGGTGCAAATGCTGAAATAATTATTAGACTTTACATAGAAATGCACTGCATCTTGCCATAGTGTGGAAGTCTGTGACCAGGTGACCCATGTCCTCTCTCTGCTCATGTTGACAGGCAACAGTGCTTATAGTCACAGGATCGCTTTTTGAATACAGGATGGATTGAAACAGAGGACAGGCCTCAGGTGACCCTTCAAATAGAGGACTGTCTTCTGCCGCAGCCCTGTCTCCCAACGCATCCCCTTATCCTGCTTCAGCTCCAGTGAAGAACAGTGTTCTAGTGTCAGTGCTGATGTAAGTTTCAGCTACCAATCCAGTCAGCTTATGTATGGACAATAAGGAGGGCGTGCTATTTTCCCCTTTGCCTCAGGCAGCAAAATATCTTCCACCAGCCTTGCTTCCTCCAATTTTAAATTTCCCGGTGGGTGTAGTACAGGAAAAGGCATAGCATGGATCTGGAAGATGTATGCACATGACTTGTGAAACCCTTCTGCCACCATTTTTTGACTATGGTACAAGAACTGAAAAAATAACAGATAAAGAGGGCTGCATGACATAAATAGTTAAATCAGTTGAACCATGATGCATGCTTTTCATCAGTACTTTTTAAAATACAGCAATATAGTCCTACAGAGTCTTATTCTCAGTGTATTTGGATTAGTTAATATGTTAATAAGGTGGTATGAATACTGTTTCCTCACATCACAGTGCCATCCTGTATCCTTACATTTGTCAACAGAAACCACACATGATGGATGGATGACACAATTTATCCCATATCTGCATTGCCAGAGTGGCACTGGTATGGGAAGAAACTGTATCATCCACTTGCTTACTGTTCATAAATGTTACTTGTGCCAGAAGAACTTGCTCTATGGAAGCAACTCTCATGCTAGAGTGACCCTACAAAAGTTAGGCCACATATAACCTCCAAACTCTTTCTGTGAGGCTCTCCATCTGCCATCACCCTCAAGGCATTTTCCCTCAGACCCTCACTCTTCTTCCTGCAACAAGCAACACCACCTACTGCTGTTTTCCCTGTCACTTTCTTACAAAAACAAAATTGCTCGATGAAAGGATTCCACAGGAAAATATTGTTCCAAAATGGACTGCATTCAAGTTAACATTTCTTCATTGACCACTGGATGTTTAGTTTTCATCTAAATGGTAGGTTAATAATTTTGTTACATTTTGATTTAAGATGTGATCCTCTTTAGGCATGAGGCACTCTAATGAGGCTCCTATGTCCCAGAAGGTTGGGGACCACTGCCATAGAGCAATGGCAGGCAACTTTCTGGGCCAGGGAGCATCTGCAAACTTGAGAAATTGTCCTTGGTTCTACCATAAAATGGTTGCAGTGGGAGGTGTGGCTCAGCCATAAAGGCAAGTGACCTGCCCAAAAGCTGAATGCCGGGCAGAGGTGACATCTGAACACTAAACCACTCATTTGAAGCCAGTTGACAACAGCAACAGAAACCTGTTTCACAGAAAGCAAACTCCATTTTACCTGCCCCCACCCACCCACCCAAATCTGCAACTTTCTCCTTCCATAGAGCATTACTTTGTAGAAGTCGCATTTCTAGACTGCAACATGTGAAAGTCAGGATTATGAGGATGGCAAAGATAAATAAGCAAGTTTCAACAGACATAGTGCATTTATATGTTTAACAGCAGCCATGGGAAGGCAGAGCTACATGTTCTTTTCTGCCTTGTGAAAGGAAAAGTGGGCAGGATGGGGCTGAGTGAGGTCAGAAGGGGAGGAGCTTCAAGAGCAGGCCGCACCCCCTCCTTGATGTCATCCAGTCCTCCAGATTGGCCTGGGGATGGGTATCCAGCCCTTACAGCAAAAATGTTTCACTTCCTCTGTTCTAATTTAACAATTTTATTTGAAATAATGGCCTTACCATAAATTGAGCAGTATCTTTTTCTTTTCACTCCATTTGCTTAGGAATTAAAGTGCAAAGGAGGAAACGATAGATTTTATTTCATTTTTTACTACACCCATCTCAGCAAAGCTCTGGCTGCTTTCCATGGTGTCTCCTCCTGCTGCAGGCTACACCTTTCATTCTCATAACAAGTTCCTGTGGGAAACTGGATTTGACTCCAGCTCACCCATGGAGTCCATCACTGGCCCTCATCACCCGGCTCCAGAGCTAACAGTCTGTAATGGCACCATGCCACACCAACACTCAGAGCTCCTTATCTCCATTTTTAGTAGTAGCCTGTAATATGCAATTATTATCTCCATTAATTGTGGAGTCACACATCTTACTGGTATTTTTAGTCCAAAGGTATATTCTAGCAATCAATGTTCTGGGGAATCCAAAATGGAACCTCAAAGGGGCATTAACAGGTTCACTATTTCTTCTTTCAGGCAATCCTAAAGATGATTGATATGGCCCTTTATTTCCCTTGGGGTGATAGAACATTATGGTTTCATGAAAGCAGTACTGTGCCTTGGACTGAGACTAGAATACAGCTTTTAAATATTTAAATGAGTCCTATAACCGCTGCTGGTAAAGAATCAGCTGGAAGCGCTGGCCTTACTCTGTATACCAGGCACATGATACAGTCATGGTAGCTCCATGTAAGTCACTGCTCTAAGGAAACCCAAGATGTACACCCCTGCTTTGTCTCTGTGTGCTTGCTGGTCACACAATAAAGAATTACACATGTTAGCTGAGGTTGAGAGTAAAGGATTTAGGAAGATTTTCTAAAAAATTTTAAAAATGTGATTGCATTGTCTTAAACATTCATAAGACTGTTTTACAGTCTGCTAATTAACAATGGCATTCTGATTGATTCAGAGGAACATATTTGTCAGTAGAAGTGCTGAAGATTCCAGTGTAAAATGTATGAAGTGTATGTACATGTGCTTGTAAGCTGCAAATTGACAACACATGCAGGGCGGTGGTGGGGAATCATTGTGTTGCGAGGTGATGCATATACATGGCATGGGGTGTGATGGGGAGGGGGGATAATTCCATACTGCATTATGTTGTGGTATATCTATCCAGGAGTTTAAATCCAGGCAGCCTGATCCATGAATCAGTTGAGTCAAACTCCTTGAAGTAGATGTTTGGATTAACTGATTTCTAGAATTCAATACTGTGTCTTTCCTTTTGAAAACAAGAGGGGCTTTTCTAGGCAGGGAGGGAATTATAACACAAAGCTTCCTTCACCTCACTCCACAGTTATCTCTTCAAAAGCGTCAGCAGCAACTAACATAATGCATTTATTTTCACAGCAAATAAATAAGGCATCAAGAAATGATGAGGCAAAGAATACATTCTGCTGGGTACATTGGAGATTTTGGGAGCATATTCATTTTCATTTTCAAACAGTATGAATGCCTGTTTACATGTTTTGTAGTCTTTTACTATAGTCTGTCTGTTTACCTTTACATTTTTTAGTCAAGAATCCTCTTGCCTGAAATAGGTAATCACAGCTTACATATGTAAGATATCACTTTGCAATGTTTAGAAAGATATTTGCTGCTTTGGGCAAAGCACTCCTCCCAGCTCCACAACCTTTTAATTTAAAAGTATCTCCTAGTTTTCAAACTACAAAACATGAAGTTTCAAACCTTTTTATCTTACAGCATCTTATATGCCAAACTGCATTACAGTAACAAACTGCACAGCTGCAAAATGTCTTAAGGAACATACAACATACCAATCCTTATAGAATTACACAGAAATGGCCCCAAAAGTAAAACGCCTGCTAGGAAATGTTCACAGCTCTCGACAATGTTCCCAAGTAATGCAGATGTAACAGGACTAAAGTTTTACTTAAATGCCCCGTCTTTCAAACTCCATGTTCCCTCTAGCTGTGACTGAAGTTTTACTGTACTGCAGCAGAGTTCAGGATAATTACTGAAAACCATACCTTTTAATCCAGGGGTTTGCAACAGGCGCCCTCACAGCTGAGATGCAATTAAACGAAAAGATTCAAGCCAGGCAGAAGACCGTGCAGGTGTGGAAAGGAGGAGGGGTGGCTTACTGCTCAGTGACTGTCACTTGGTGGAAAACCCTCCTGCTTCTTCTATTCCATAGCACAGTAAAAAGTTAGGTTTCCTCAATGAACAGAATCCAGGCTGCTGACACCCACAGTAGATCATATGGTAATGATATGTCTGCTGTATTGTAGCCAGAAACTTTATCAGCCCCCTTTTCTCCCTTTTCCCTTATTCCATTTTTCTGTGTTCAGGTTTCTAAGTGCTTTTACAGAGCAGCACAAATACTTGATGCCATTTCCCTCCCTTACTTCATCATTTTCTTCACATATTTTGTTCAGAGGGCTTTCTGACTTTGATTCATTTTCTTTAGTGCAAGAGAAACTAGATTCCCAGTTTAGTTTCTCATACCCAAGGAAATGGAAGGCAAACAGTCTCCCCAAGTGAGTCAAAATATACAAATTTTCAATAGACAATAAATAAGTAGTCTTGGCTTAAACTAGTTCTGCAAATGTGAATGTATATTTAATAGCAATAAAAGAAGCAAGTAAAATTTTATTATAATTAAATTCCATGGTTTTGTACTTTCAAAACCAGAAAGGACTAGAACTCATAGTCTTATCTTGTCCTTTAAGTAATTATTTTCGGCTTTGGTCCAATGTACATTTATTAAAGAGTACATCACAATAAACTGAGTGGGACTCACATCTAAGCAATCCTGAGATAATGTTTCATACTGACCATGTTAAAAGTGAGAAGCATGGAAATTAACATGAATTAATTTCTAAGCAAGCAGGTTGTTTAAAAAATATCACAACTACAAATATACACATCCCGTTTTTATTTATTTTGGTAATGGGGAACTATATGCTGTTTACATCCTCAATAGTGTAGTTTTTCAAACTCTGCAGAAGCTACTCATCTATACCCTAGTGAAGTCACTTGAGTAACTGCTATTTATTTAAATACATAGCTTGGAGTAAGGCCCAAGGAACTCAGTGTATCTTACACATACAATTGGGATGCAAGTGCCAAGGAGCACATGTAGCTTCACTCTACCCTTTCCTTTCCTGCATAAAATTTGTGGTTTTGTGACTCTGTGTTTAAACTTGTACTTTCTTTCTCCCCTCAGGCTGCAACCAGGTGCAAATGCAGAATCCACTACAAGCTATTTAGGAGTTATCACATTCACAGAAGTCTTTTAAGTCATGCCCATTTCATTTTCCTGACTGGGATACAGAGACTTGCAAATCATTGGATTTGTTCTCATTTACCCTAAATTTGGGGTTTTGGAACAATTCACTTCAAATTCAACTGATTACAGAATGAAGGGATCTAATCAAGGGGGCTGACTAAAGGAAAGCATGCTACTTTCAGCATCCATTTTCAAGTTCTTTGTTGTTTGCAGACTTTTTCAATGTAGAACCTACAAGGAACTGATCTGCTCTGTGTACTTCCCACAGAAAACAGTAGCTGGCAATTCTTTCAGATGAGACCTTGTGGTGCAAATTATTGCTTCTGCTCTTGGCTTTTCAAGTACTGAGCAGAAACTAATCCTGTTCAGAAGGGCTGTGATGGCTTCTTAGCAATATTGGTTATTTAAATCCAGGTCACTTGCCGATTGCTGTGAGGAAATGTCTTTAGGAGGTTTTCTGATACACAAGAGGTTATGAACTTGGTCAGCTTGGAAGCTGCTCTATCACTTCACATTCTTTGAACACAGTTCAGCAAAATTCTTGCACAATTAGATTAAATAACTACATGTATAAGTTATTCACTGCCTGAAAATCTTTCTCCTCATTTTGTCCTACTTCATTCACTGGTCTTTAGAAAACAGATGTTAGAAAATGAACCCTTCACATGTGTCTGAACTGGGCTTAACAGTACTTAAGGAACTGGTTCAGTCCACATTTTTAAGCACAACCTAGTTTGCAAATCTCAGACTAAAAAAACAGGTCAAGAATGCAATTCTCGTTCCATTTTTGCACTTCTCAGAACTTGGCAGTACATCTCCCAATAAAAAAAATGTACCAAGATATATTTTAAAATGCTTGTTTAAGTGAAAATGCATATAACATGTAAGATAAACGAACTACATAAAAGTATATTTTCTGAGAAAATGAGTTTTAAAGTGTGATGAATTTTAATGCCTTAAAAGGTCGGAGATTGATGTGGACTGTTGAACACATGCACAATTCACACAGAGCAGAAAAAGACTGATCCATTCTTCTGTAACTGGTGTGCAGGAAATGTGGAGTTTCAAGCCTACTATCTGTCAATGGATAATTAAGAGGGAAGTCTTCCACTAGTGCCCCTTTCTCCTGTCCTCTATCCTGTACAGAATTATATTCTGTTAGCGATCAAGGATGATACCATTCTATCATAATTTCTCTCTGTCTTTTTTGTGCTCTGAATTTTAGAGAGAAAGATCTCTTACACCACTGTAAGGTCCCAAAGGGACCACACCCAGATTATTTATGTGGCTAAAATAGAAAAATTGCATATATATGTACCACTTTCTGATGATGTACATATTTCCTTGTAAAATACACTAAGTTGTTTCTTTTATTTTTTCTATTTATTCCCATCTTACATATTCATGGACCTGTAACTATGAGACAGAAAATATGGGGAGTCCATGAGTAATCACAGTTCAGCCAGTTCAAAATCCATCATTAGTTCATGTTGGAACTGTCTCTTTTGAGAGTCCTTTCAAAGTACAAATCATCATTATTTTAATTTCTTGAGTTTCAGTATTCCCACTGATTTGATCAGTTTGCTTAGCTTCCTGCAGTTTCATTTTCATGTTTCAAGGCATGCCACCTGCTGTAGATTGTCAAGAAAAGAATATCTTGTGATGTATATAGGGAGAGTATAGGGAGCCAGTGTGGTGAAATGGTTCAGAACATGGGTGTGGGACGGAGGCAACCTGGGTTCCAGTCCTCACTCAGCTAGGGAGCCAACTGGTTGACCTTGGTCCAGTCATAGATGCTCAGCCCAACCTACCTCACGGGGTTGTTGTTGTGGGGATAAGAGTGAAAACAGCAGGAGGAGAATGGTGTAAGCCGCTTTGAGTTTAGTGTAAGAAAAAAGTGGGATATAAAGCAAATAAATAAATAAAGACAATATATCCCTCTGTAAATTTTCTGGCAGGTTCAGCCAGTCAATATTTTGTGGCAACTTCATTCAGGCTGGCCAAGCTCATGAGAACATTGCTTGAAAAGTCACAAAACCAGATAAAACAGAATTAATTTGATAACAATGCAATTATTAATAAAATGTTCAATTTATTAATAATCTACTCCACCTTTGCAACTCAGGGTCCACTGTCATGTCTAGAGAGGGTTTCTTGTTGGTTAAGGTTAATTCCCATTTCTTTTTGTTTCTCAGTCCTCTTACTTAAAATAAACATCTTTATTAATTCAGTGGTTTTTTCCCCTGGAGGTCTCTTTAAAAGCCTAAAGAAAGCATCTTCAGTGTTATTCCTATTAAGAAAGTACAGCTTAATACCATACAGGTTTATACACTAAAACACATACAAATGTCTCCACTAAATATGCTGTACACAGCAGGTTCTCCATTGGCTAAAGTACTCTCAAAGAAAAGGTGCCACACAGACATTTTTATGGCTTCCCCTGTGAAATTGTTTCTGCAAAGATTTTGCTCAAATATGGTCAGCATGTTCTTGTGCTTATAATTAAAGCATAAGGATAGTTAAAGTGAATTTATTTGCCTTTTACTTCTAATGTTTCTTCTGATAATGTTTTAAATTTCATCAAGGCAAAATAGATTCAGCTTATTGCCTTATAACAAAGATTTTATTAGTGCAGCCTCAGGACATGTTGTGCTAAGATTTGTGTGGTCTTGTTGAAACAAGATTCTCTCAAATAAGAAATTCATCTCCAGTATTGAAAAAGAACCTTTCTAACTCCTGGTTTTCCCACTCTGAGATAAGATTTGTCACACTATGCTGCAAAACTAAAGACCCACATTTGATGTATGAAAAGAGCTGAGCTATGGGGTAGGGTGGGATGGAAAACACATGTGCTTCTCGGGCATTTTTTAAAATCACAATAAAATCTACTTGTTAGCTGTGACCATACTAGTTGTCAAGACTGGTAATGACTAGGCATCCTCCTAACTTTAGCCATATCTTGATCCAGTGTTAACCTGTTCTTGAAAATAGCCTGAGAAGTCCTGGTCTCCATTCTGCCCATATGGAAGATCAGGCCAGTAGGCACAAGTGACAGAGACTTCTCAGTAGTGGCACTGTAATTGCAGAACTCATTCCCTGAATAGTATCACTGAGCTCTCTCACTGCCCATTTTCAGCTGGTGAGTAAACTTTTAAAAATTATTCTATAAATCTTTTAATGTGTGACCTGAGTGTCCTGAATTTACTGGCAGTCAATTTTATTGGGTAACCGGGAATATTGACAGAAGTCTGACATGTTGTCTCTTTCCATTTTCTCTAGACTGTACATACTTCCAGAAACCTCTGATGTGTCACAACAGATTCACTGAATGTGCTCCTTTTAAATATATGTACGAGCATGTGCATACATTACGGGACATGCATTTTCTACAAAGGACCTTTTGACATTGGCAAAGGGACATCTGTGGCGAAGAGGGAAGTTCATCACATTCCACATGCTCATGCAAGCTGCAGAAAACTGTTAGAGGCATTGATTATTTTAAATGCCCATGCTCCTTTGGAGGGCAAATAACTTGGCAGAGTAATTGCAAATCAAACGCAAGAATGATGAATGAGAATTAATATTATATGGGGAACTTGGCTGAGTTCTCAGGAGGGTGGCTCTAGGCTACTGGTGCAAGCTGATTTTTCAGCTGACGGTAACAAGGGGTGACAGGTTATTAGGAGTGACCAGGAAGCTAAATAGTCGCTAATGCTCTTGGGAAGAAAAGGAGAGGTTGTGGGTGACTATAGAGAATAGTGGAGGAGAAGGAAGGAAAAGAGAGGGGGATTGTATTAAGTCAAAGTGACACGGTCAGATTGGTTCCCAAGGCACAATCACTTTATCCAGGAAGGAAGGTGAAGGGGTCTATCCAAACTATTCATTTTTCCAGAATTTCATATATTTTCCTCTAGTTTAGTCAAGCCCACTTCTCATTGCTTCATAGTTCCA